TATCAATGTTAACTCATCCCCAGTCGTCCGTGGCCCAGTCAACTCATCCCCATTATTCGTGGTGGTAAAAAATAACGCTTGTATTTTTGTAACATCACTATATACTTTATTAATTTTATTGTTCACATCATAGAGAAGGAAGTTCTTTCTCTATGTTCACATAGATTATTCCAAATAAACAGCATTCATTGATACTTCAATAATTAATATTGTATACATACAAAACAAAGAATATTAAATTTAAAATGTAAATTTACTCTATTGTCTAAAAAATTCTTAACTAATATAAATTGCAGTGTTCTGTTCATCTTCATCGTCTTAAAGTAGTGGGACTTCTTCATCATGGGCTTTTTTTGAATGAATTTCTTTTTGGAAGCCTGCATGGATTTTGAATGTTGTAAAATCATATTTATAGTTTGATGATAATTTTTGGGGAAAAAATGCTATTCAAAAATGTGATATTGCTACTCAATTTTCAATTTCATTAGCAAACATTGCTAATCAAAATTTTGAAATGAAAATGTTCCCTGTAATTTGCTCTGTTTTTTCAAATTTTTAAGCAACTTCAACCTTAGTGCCCTAAGTTATAAAATGTGTTCTTATAAAAAAAAAAAAAAGGTGTATATGTGTAGTAACAATAATATACTGCTGTCCAATAATCTTTGAAAAGTAAAATAATAACAAAATAAGAAAATTCTGAGCAGGAAATTTACAATATAAGAACACTGAGCCTGGGCAAAATGTTACTGGTTGTTAGGTGTGAGGATATGAAGCATATTTCTCATAAAGTTCATATTCACTATAATGTTTTAAAACACAGTATTTTAGGCGCTGAAAAAAATGTTTTTCATTCCAATATTTTTTGAAAAAAAAAAAAAAAAATAGGATTAGGATTGTTGTTTTTACACCCACATTGTGAATGACAATAAAGTGTACTATAATTGCTGCGAAGCAGCCAATTCCTATTCTTGACAGCAATTTGACCTCTGAAAGGTCATTGTTTGTCAAAAAACGAGCGCCTAAGACAACTGAAAAGCTGAGTTTCCTTCTTTTGTTCTGCCGGGTAAAATCAATTACTTTAGGCGATGTTTGAAGACTAACCTACACGTACCAACGTCCGCATGTCGCGACTATCCAGCGTTTTTACTATATTTCTAGGTTTCCTATTTCTACGTTTAATCGGCCCATGTCTCAGCCACAATATTTTGAGGCCAATATTATTTACGAACCCAGTTAAACTTATTTACTAGCCTATTTCAACGTACTAATTATTACATTTAGGCGACGCTTGTTGTAGACGGGCATACACAGTGTTTTCGGTAATAAATACCATTTTATACACATGCGCAGATCGATTCGCCAGCAGCGAGTCATCGCCAGCAGCGAGTCATCGCCAGCAGCAGCGAGTCGCCATCAGCGAGATGTCGCTGCAGCAAAACACTATTGTACACGATACCAACGCTGTTCTAATATAGACAATGGGTCGTGTCTCATATTATTTGTTATATTTTTATTATTCGTTATTTTCACTTGACTCGCACAAATAATTTTGTTCGAAGAACATTTATATGCAGTTGTACTTCGCAGCACTTCACTTGCAATTTGCAATTTCTAGTAGTTAGACTAATAGCCAAAGGCAACTGTGGACTGATAACTCATACCACAGACTGATCAAACAATGCTTTAATACTGGATGTGTAAATTTATGCATGGTATGCCTATACAAGAAATTGAAGGTCATAAAGAAACTACAATGCTCACAAACTAGATGTTTTTTCAATGGAATGATGTCATGAAGACAGTTTTCCTGTAGGCATGCAATATTGTGGTTTTTGATGTTATCAAAAGGGCTTTCCTATAGAGTACTAGTAATCTTTGTGGTAGTCCCACACTAACTTCCTGTCAGTCACAGTCAGGGTCGTGGCCTATATTCAACTATCAACACATTTCAAAGTAATACTTTTGCCTTGCCTATAATAGAAACAACAATTGTTCTTTAAAGATGCCATAAGAGGCGAGGCATTGTGCTCAACTGATTACAGTAGGCCTACCGGTATTTATTATACTACTGTTTCTTAACTTAAGGCCTAACGAAAAAATTATTAGTAGGTATCCCAATGAGAAATTTCAAATTCATTATTGTGAATTCTCTCTTCATTTAATATGCAGAACTTACTGCACTGATCACTTTCCAGTTTAAATGAATGAAATCCAACATACCGTTCAAAAGTTATGGCCCATCAAAGTTGCCAAAAATGGGGGTCAAACGGTTAAAAAACGGCGTTTTTCATCAATTGCCATTTTGAGCATTTTTGGAGGGCCATAACTTCAAAAATAATCATAGAAAACATCTAATTTGCACCAATCTGGTAGATCACATAGGGTTTTATGTGTCTATTTTTTTTGGGGACACTCTGCAATGTGGTTTTTAAAATAACGGCCCACGAGTATGGTCCCTCTGCATTTTTTGGCAATTTTTCGCAAATGTTTCAACGATTGTAAATAGTCTATCAAACTAATGCCGCCAAAACTGTCAACTTTTGCTCTGTGTTTTATCAAGCCACAGAACAGACCTCTAGGGTCTAATTCCAGTAATGGAGGTCAGTCTGGTCAGAATAGTAAGTTGTGTTTATATGAATGCATTTATGCTACATATTCAATCGTTACAAATACTCTTGATTTTTATTTTGTCGCGGATTAGTGTTTATTGATCTGTATGGTCTGTCTCTTATACACATCTAGATGTGTATAAGAGACAGGTAAAGAATAAAGCCAGTTCTTTCAAGATATCTTATTTTTATTGACATACATTCACAATGAGTATTTTATTCTCAACATCAAAATCATGTCATTTCATCAAATTTCATGAATATTTCCGGACTGTGGTAACGCAAAACGGGTTTCATTGGGATACCTATTATTAGTTTATTATCTTATGAAGGCTGGAAAACTGATAGGGCAGGTAGACTTTTTATTTCTATTTTGCTAAAGCCAAGTGTCACCCTTGTATAATACAGGTTGAATTGTTTGCTGGTGCATTGATATTCAAAGTAAATTACATGATTGTGGAAATACAGTACAAACAATTTCCCAATACAATAGAAGACATGTAGGCAGGCATGATAAGCTAATTATTCTTTTTATTTTGCCTAAGTTTACCTATATTAATGTTTTAGTGATAATATTAAAAGGTGTAATTTATAATGATTTAATGAATGTTAATGCTACCAGATTTTTATGAATAATTGTGGCTAACTTACCTGGTTTTAATGGTTATCTATAGACATTTTGTGCATTATTTTTTTTAATAATTTTAGTAATTATTAGATTTCACATGGGTAGTGCACGCTTATGACATTTAAATTTTTGAAAATTCCAATCCAATAAGATGATCAAACAGAAATGAATCAAATGAAACCCAGTGCCGGAACAACATTTTATTGCCATTTTTTGCTGTGGTTGATTTGTTAAATATTTATATTATATTATTATATTATATTTATATTATTTAAATGTAGTTTTTTCCTAATACTGTACCATTAAGGGAATTTTTTGAGTTCCTATTTATGTCGATTAAAATATTGTAAAATAACAATTTTACACTAACATGAATCTACAGAATATTGAACGAGGAATTGTCACACGTACTGTATACAAAAGCAAAACATGAAAATTCACTGTAAACGATACAGTATAAAAAGAAATTTCAAACTCCCCTTTTTAATATTTGTGTTTGTAATATTTTTTTTTTTTTTGTTTATTTATGTTCACTGGAGAACTTTTAGGTAGTGATTAAGTTCGCTTAAGGGTAATCCTCAGATTTCGTTTTTGTCGACTGAATTTTGATTTTTGTATTGATTTTCCTGGCAGTAAATAAAATAAAATAAACCAAATGCCCATTTCATAAAACCTTGACTCTATCTTGCTGTCTAGAGAAAGACGAAGGCCAGTAGGCCGACCGGTATTACTGAGAGAACTTAGCTTTAACTGTAAACTGGTGGTTGCCAATGTTTGTGTGCTGCAAACCATGGAAATCCTTTCAGATCTTTTCTTTCCCTATTCAATTCCAATCTCTATTCCCTTTGTGTTTTAGCCAAAGGGCTGGAATAAGAATTAATACAGTACAATAGCACATTGTCTTTCTGTTAAAGTTTGATAGAAATGCTGTTCATCTGCTTATAATGGTATAAATTTAGTCAGTTTTGCAATGAAGTCCAGAAAAAAATGTGTTGATGACCTTGTACTGTAGAGTATTTGTACCGTAACAATTTTTGTCAAGCATCCAACAATCACAGACTTTGTTATAGAGCTTTGTCCACATGTAATTTATTATTATTATTTCGTCCCATGTATGGGAGTGATACGCAATGCGATGCGAATAGGAAACTGGGGTGGATGTAGGATTTGGCGGTAGGGGGTACGTGATAATCCATACCACCTCAGCCCCACCATGTTTGGGGCTGAGGTCAAGAACAATTTTGAGAGTACGGACCTTATAAGTTGCCCAGAAATTGCACTCTCCTGCTTTTAAAATCTTACCAGTACTATATTTTTAGTGATAAAAATAATATATCAACAATACAATGCAGCAAGTATTTTTCTTAATACAATTTAGTGGGTTGCGATTGCACAGTCTGCATTCTCCTTGCAGATCCACCCCATAGATAATGTCCACATTTTTAAGACAGTCGAAAATGCACTGAATAAAAAATTTGTTATTTTCTGAATAGAGATTAAAAGGGAATCATTAAAAATTGTTACCAGCAATCTATCATTAGGCCATTATTTGAAAAATAAAAGCTGCAAAACAAATTGCTCTGCCCCCTAATCCCAGTTAGTTAATTTTTTGCACATCCCTGCACCCCCAATTGCAATCCTGGATGTGTCCTTGTGATGTGACATTAATATGCCTGTATTTTGAAAACTTTATAGTAAGGAAAAGGCTTTAAATTTTTCTACTCACCAGACTACTAATAATTGTTTCCATTTTTTTATTTCAGGTTATTTTGTGTATGATTTTATTGACAATATCACATACAGGAGGCTTGCAGAATCATGGGCTATTCTTCTCCATCATGTTACCGTAAGTAGGAAAATTAATATTCACAGTTAAATGTTGGCCTAAAGCCTTTTTCCTGTTGTGTATGAAAGGCTTCCAATAAAAAAGATCAATTGGACCCTGTTAGAGATAAATTTGAAGGAAGCATGTTACTAGAATTGCACTAACAGTAGAACCTTGTTTTTACGTTCCTAAGTACGGACACTCAGTTTTACGTATGCCTCGTACGGACGATGACGTCATCAAAAACCCCAAAATACTTTAATACAACAAACAGCCCTTTTCAGGGCCACCATAATGTAAAAAGAAATTTGTTAGTTTCTCTCTGTTTATTATTTCAATACTATAACAATAAACAAACCATATGCAATTATTTGCATTCAACATCAGCATTAATGATAGTGTCTAATTAATGCACTGATATAATCTAAAACCATGTGGACTGAGCGAGATGAACTAACGTCCGCCGGTGCTCAAAATAAGTTCTTACCTATTTAGCTTTGTGTGAATTCTACACAAAGTTTACTATAGCTGGGTAGTCATAATTTTGCATATGAAGTGGTTGGCTCGCCCAGTGCAGTGCACATGCTTTTAGTTTGTCTCATCAGGCCCAGACAACACCGCAGCTCTGTTGATTAGAATAAATATGAAGGTTAATTCCTAAGTTGCACCTTTTTGTATAGGTAATCTTACATTATTTTCTGTTCTTAGTTAAGTAAGATATAATGGGATGAATTAATACACTAGACACATGGTTTTATTTGTACACTTTATTATGACATCTTAAAGTGGGGAATAATACTAATAAACACATGGTTATATTTGTAACATCGTTCATAACATACGTTTATTGAGTGTTGCAGTACATACGTATCAAAGGTCACCACAAATTTAACACAACTTTAATTTTACAAATCCATCAATTTACGTACTTACTCTGGTCCTGTACCATACGTAAAATCGAGGTTCTACTGTATTACTTTTTAATTACAACACACTTCCTATCTTCCTATTGCCAATAGCAGAAAAAGACCAAATGTTGGTGTCACTATTAGATTTTAGTTTAAATCGGCGTATGATGTACAGTACTACATACTATTTTTGAACAGTTTGCAGCCACCATCCTGTGCTTTCTGGAATGCCCAGTCATAGTCAGACTTCTGACAGGTGAATACATTGCTGTGACCAAGTCAGAAAGGCAGGATTGTCAAGCTGTTATTCCAGGCAATAGTTTACTGTTGAAATCCTTCTTTGACGTTCAGGCTTCCCAATAGACTCCGCCTTGTTGCACGCTTTATAGGAAGTAAGAATTGGCTTGGCTGAGGCTACCAACACCTGAATTTCAAGGCACTTTCTCCCCATTGACTCTGGCAGTTAAGAACTGCTTTAGATGTGGAACTGACAATTTTACATTTTCAACAGATTTATCAATATAGATCTTTAGTATAAGGTGGCAAAATATGTATGATATAATGTTAAGAATGCTAGAAAATCAGTAGTGGTTTTGGTACAGTAGTTAGTAAAAATCTAAGATGCTGTGGTTGCATTTTAAGTGCATGTGCACGATAAAAAAAACCCTGCAAGATAGCTTCACCAATGTTTTGGGCCAGATTTTTCTGTGAGATACAGATAATAGGCTTAAAGTTGCGGTAAACATTCCTCTTTATTTTTTGTAGTTTTGCTGCGGTTCTGGAATAACACTGGTGATTCAACAGTACATTTGGTTTTCACTAATTCACTTACTTGCCGAGGTTAACAGTATCTTCCTCCACTCCAGACAGATCATGTTAATGATGAGTATCTCGAAATCATCAAAAGTGTATTTTGTTAACAATATTTTTAACATGATAACATTTGTTTTGTTTCGTTTTGGTATGTCCTTCTGGGTAACTTGGTGGTTTTACAAAAACTACGTCAGTATACCCACCGTTTTAATTGCTGTCGGTTGCTATGTAGTCGGTGTCGTGATGATTGTCCACTTCGTATTATTTTCCAGACTGATCACAAGTGATTTACTAAGCAGACCAGCAATTAGCAAAAAAGATCGTGATGAGGAACCTAAATAACTGTTAAGCTAGCTGGAAATTTGCCAGACTAATGGTGGTTAGTGGCCACCAACATCTGAACCTGGTTATTTAACTAGCTTTAGTTGTTAAGTTGTATGTGAAAAAAATAGTGTGTATATGAGTTCAGGGTATTACAAGGTACAGTTATGTATGAACATATTACGGTAATAAAATTTAACAAAAAAAATGTGAAAATGTATCTTGGTTATTGTTTTGCTCTTTAAAGTTTGTACTTCCACTGTTTGGGATGACATTCACTCTAATAATGTATTTTTTATGTATACTTTGGAATTATTTTGATACTTTTTTTACTGCCAATATTTGAACCTCCTGTTATTATTTGGACTTTATATACATTTTTTTATCGGAGTTTTATTTTCTTAATGGAAATGGAAAGAGATGATACCTTTACATAATTAACAAATAGCAAAATGCTTAGAGATAAAGAAAATAAAAAAGAACAGAAGAAAACTAACCTATGAACTATCCTAAAACATAAACCAGTAACAATTTAACAGAGAATCAAATTAAGAACGAACCGTTATCACTGCATTCATCACTGCACTGTTAAGTGCACCGAGGAGCCGGCATTTTGCATTGTATAAGTTTAACATTATTATTAATCAAATGCATGTTGCATGTTTTTTGTGTTATTGTTAGAGCATACTACAACCGAATTCTGTCTGTATGTGTTTTGTGAGATTTATTTTATAGCCCTTATCTGAACTTGTTTGAAAAATTTTTTATGAAAATGTCTTAGTTGTGTGTTTATGTACAGGGTATAATGTGTAGTATTTTGAATAAATTTAAAATGTTTAAGTTTTTGTAATATTTTTAAAACAAATGCAGAAATGAAGAACTTATATTTTGTTTAATGCGATGTGCTTTAAAACTTTGATATTTGTGTAATGTATGTCATAACATATCAATTTGTTTGGTCCACTTAACGTGCCACAGTGAAAATCACCCTATCTCTTAACCATTGCGCTTCTTCAAAAATGTTTTTACTACAAAAACTGACTCAAAAACTAAAGGTTGGATAAATTAGGTTGAAACTGTTTATAGGTTTCACTCTATATAGCTATTGCAAACAATTTACAAATTTTTCCCCCAAATATATATAGCCTTGTTATTTTTGGGTTGAATTATGAAAGTATAAGCGGTATTTGTGTGTTTTCAGCGGGATTTGAGCTAGTGTACTGTATCATGTATGAGGAGGCCTTTTATTACGTCATGACTTTGTATACCAATTTGATCACTTTGGTTAAAAGCGGAAACAGAAAGCAAATTTTACTGCGATCAGTCATATAAAAAGTAAATCTGATTGGACAAAATGTTCTTTTGTCATTTTTTAATCCTAGATCAAAGCCTTTCAAGAAGTCGACCTCTGAAATCATGCGAAAACTGAGGGGGCCTATCTTGTTCAATGCGTTAACAGTCACATGGCTGTATCTTTTCCAAGGTAAAGTGGTAATCCATTTGAAAAAGGATTGCAATAAAGCTTAAAAAATACAGATTATGCTGATATCAAAATGTAAAAGAAATGTTTTATTATTAAGGAGGCTAGAACCCATAATAAAGTAGGTTTAAAACTGCCCAGGCCCACACCTCCATTCTATTTTCTGTACTGAAGAAAATATGGTAGGCCCCTACCTGCTGTATCAAAGACTGGTTAAAATTCATTAAGTGTATACTGTATGCCTGATAGTGAACTTATTTTATTTCTACAGTATTATGCTTAGATTACGAATTTATTTTAATAGTGTTCACTAATGATTGATTGTTTAAAAAAGTGCATTTTTATATAGCGACGTGATTCTTGCAATCACATTTTGCGTGTGTGTGTGGACATTTAGAGTGAAATTGTGCATGCGTCAGAAAAAGTTTTTACCTCGCGACATGAAGTTCATTAATGGTGGTTCAGTCACCTTCTTATGGGTTTTTGCTTTTGATTAGCTCCCCCAGTTGCTTGATAAGATTAAAAATAATAAGCGATTTATTTAGGCCTATACCTGTTGTCTAAGTACTGTATGGTATTCATTTTCCCAATATTCAAATGCAAAGAATTAAACTTTTCAAGGTAAACCACCACAGCACAAAATCTACCCAACCTCATATTGCCTGAAAATAAAACATGCATCATGCATAGGAACGTTGACGCCCGCAGGGTTCTAGTTATATACCCTTTTCGGATAATGAAATCGTTCAAACCTTGCGCTGTGCAGCACGCTCAATCTGTTCATTTTTTGCCTTTCATACAGTGCGCAATATTAAAAATGTTTTGTTACATGGCCAAAATAGCCCAAACAAATTAATATGGTTAGGATAACATTCGCACTATATATTTGTTATGTATGAATTGGGATATTATATTCTGTACTTAAGATTTATATTTCCACCAATATCTGAACATGGAGCTTTTGTTGCTTTTCTTTTACTGGTATGTGGAAATGAAGTAGACTTAGTGGCAGTGATGGCGCCAGAACAGTGCCCAACAGTGGGGGATAGAGGCTCTGACGGGGGGTGGGGGGGCTAGGAGCGAAGTGAGCCTTACTTGGCTGGAGGATCAGGGGCCGCCTAAGGCCCCAATGGGAAAATCACAGATATTTGACGAATTTTGGTAAATTTGTATTAGTTATTTGATAGGCATCAAGCTACCATAATATTACTTCATGTACTGTATGTTTTGTAAAGTTGCAATCAACTTCCAAAGACGAAAATTTTTTAATAAAAAAAAGAGAAACAAAGAGTACAGTATGCAATGTAGCCATCTAATTTATTTTCAAATCTGTTTTCCATTTTATATTATTAAAAAATACACCGTATTACAATACATTACTGTTCTTCCATCATAGCGAAATCCAGGTTTTTTTAATCCATGTGATTGTGAGTTACCTGTATTAACAACAAAATTACGAATAAGAGTTACCGGTATGCCTTTTTGTAAATTGTAAGGCCACCAATTTGGTATGAAATACTACGATAAATTTTAAAATCCTATCACCATGCCACATTCAAAGTGAAATTCTACATTTTGGAAATTTTGCCTGAAATCCGTCAACCACAACATTGCTTCCCCGATCAGGATGTATTCCAAGCATCATGAGGATATCCAAACAAACATTTGTCATAGAACGTAACTCATTTTTAATTAGTCTTTGAACATTGGCGGATCCAGATTTTTTAAACAGGGGGAGGGCATATTGTATTCTTTTTTCCTTATTTCAATACATATATATGAAACATTGATAAGCACTGAAATTTAAAAAAAAAAATTGTGTCAAAAATGTTTGAACTTAATTAATTTAATTCACTGGGAAGTATATCTTGTTTCATGGGCCTAATTCAATGGGAAAAGTAATATGGTAGTTGGATAACTTACTGTACAATAAAACAGCACATGAATTTATGTTATCATTATTATTGCTATTGTTGAATGTTATTGTGATAAAAAGTTAACACAAACAGTACGCAAATAGTTGAATGAAGACAGTATGGTTGTTAAATCAACAGACATATAAAAATATATTTTTTATTCCTTACCACTGGGTAGTAGAAATTTTAGCTGGACATTGTTGCATTTGAGCTTAACAAGGTGCTTCTTGCAGCAGGTGAATACAGTACCATACCGTTTGTACAGTACTGTCATCTTGCAGGTAATGGCAAGATTATTGAGTCCTGCTGTTGATAGACTCTTCAATGACGATGACATTCCTCATTTCTATTATTTGCAATACCCTCCTACATTGGTATAAATTTAAAAAATTACATTGTTGCCAATTTTTGTCACATGAGTATCAGAGCTCTTGTTTTGTCAAGGCTTGATTATTACAACTCACTTTCACTTGAATTTGTAGTCTGACTTTGACCATTTACTGCAAGTTCAGAGAACCCAGTGCTACCAGCTGATCAGTGTTGGTTGGCAGTTTTAAAACCCCATGTCAGCTGCATTTGTAACCTGTAAGAGAGAGGGTTTTCGAAGTTACTGATGATGTTTTAAGTGTACCCAAGTCCTGTTTCCTTGTCTGTCATTACCATGGCTGAGTTGGCACTGATCTCATCAGGGTCAGATAACACCTCTCAACTTTTCACTTATCATTTTTAGTGGACATTTTCATATTGTATAGTAGGTAGAAATTTGGCAAAATAAATGTATTTAAAAATTGCAAAAAAACTAGTTGTAGTACAATATTTTATTAATGATGGTGGTATTGGTGGTGGTGGCAGCACTAATGGTGGCAGTATTACCTATAGTACAATTTTCTTTTATGGCTTGGTTGCATTTTAAGTGCATTTGCTCAAAAAATAAATCTGAAAGATAGCTTTACCAAAGTTTAAGAATAGTTTCCTTGAGATACAGATAATTAAGTTGTGGTAAACATTTCTCTTAATTTTCTTTTCTTGTAGTTCTGCTGCGGTGTTGGAGTAGCTTTGGCGATTCAACAGTACATTGGGTATTCAGCTGTTACCTTACTAGCCGAGGTTAACAGCATCTTCCTCCACTCCAGACAGATTATGTTGATGATGAATATCTCGAAATCGTCAATGATGTATTTTGTTAACAACAGTTTTAACATAATAACATTTGTTTTGTTACGTTTTGGTACGTCCTTCTGGTTAACGTGGTGGTTATATGTAAACTATGTCCGTATGCCAACCTTTTTAATTGCTGTTGCTGGCTTTGGACTTGTAGTCATGCACATTGTCAACTTTGGCTTATTTTCCAGACTGATCACAAGCGATTTACTAAGCAAACAGACCAGCAAGAGCAAAAAAGATCATGACGAGGAACCCAATGACATTTTGTTAGGCTAGTAGCTGGGAATTTGCTGGTTGGTTGTTACTAATATTTAAACCTGGTTATTTTATTTGGATTTGCTTGTGAAAAAAAAATAGCTATGTGTATGTGAGTAGAGAGTAGGCCTATATTACAGGGTAGGCCTATATTACAGGGTATAGTATACAATATGTTATAAAATTCAACGAAAAATATGGAAAAGTTATTTTTGTTATTGTTCTGCAATTCAAAGTTCTGGCATTTTCTACTACAGAATATGTTTAACATTAAGTTGGGATGACATTCACTCTAATAATGTAGTTTTTATAATGTATTGGAGTTATTCTGATATTTGTTGTACCATGAATATCCGAACTTCATGTTTTTATTTGGATGTTGTTTGTATTAATTTTGTATGGGATATATTTATTTTGTAAATGTTAAGCACCAGTATTTTACGCTGTATATTACGGTTTAACGTTATTATTATTATTAAAATGATGGAATTTCATAATTTAGGGTGATAGTCACAGTACACTAAATAATAAAATTTTATTTTTGATGCAATGTTTTGGGGATTTGTTATATTTATGTTATTGTTAGTGCATACATGTACTGTACTACCAAATACTGTATTTTATTCTGTGAGATTTTTTTACCGCCAATATTTGAACATTCCTTTTTAAATTGTTTTTTTTTTTAAAGTCTGTGTGTGTATCTAAACATGGTATAATGTGTATGTATTTTGTAAAACAAATGCGGAAAAAGGGAACTTACATTTTCTTTAATGTTAAGTGCTTCAAAACTTTGACATTTAAATGTATGTCATGTTGGGATAGTATTAACACTAGTATATATTTTTTATGTAATGGAATTGTGAAATGCCTTTATTTAGAGTTATTTTCTTCTTTTTCTAAGAAAAGTAATTTGCTTTAAATTATAGGCCTTTATGCATACTGTACATGTGAATGAAATTTATGTCTAAAGAAAGCCATCCACAAAATCAAGAAAAAAAATTTTTTTATTGCTAATTTTAAAGTGACTTTGTTGTAAGTTATCAACTGCTGTCAAGTCATAGACAAAAACAACACAAGTGTATGGATAGTAGTAGCAAATTGAGCCCCTGAGCTTTAATAACAAGAAGTTTCTTGTAGCAGTTACACCTTGCAGGTACTGTACGCGGCAAGACTATTGATCCAACAGTTAATGTCCATAGTCCTTGTGTGGTTTTCGACTTAGAATGACAATGTCATTCCTCGTCTCTATTATTTGTAATACCCTTAAATCCCACATTGGTGTAAATTTCAGAATTTCATTGACACATTGTTGCTGATTTTTTGTCACATGGTTGTAGAGCTCTTTTTTTGTCAAGGCTTGATTATTGTAACTCACTTTCACTTGAATCTAAATTCGACTTCGACCATTTACTGCAGCAAGTTCAGAGAACTTAGTGCTGCCAGCTGATCAGTGTTGGTTGGCAGTTTTAAAACCCCATGTTAGCTGCATTGACAACTTGTAAGAGAGAGGATTTCAAAGGTACTGATGATGTTTTTAAGTGTACACAAGTCCTGTTTCGTCATCTGTTATTACCATGGCCGAGTTTGCACTGATCTCAGATCATTGTCAGACAACATTTCTACCTCAACCTCGGTTCTCATTTTTAGAGGACATCTCCATTGTATGGTAGGTACCTCGCCAACAAAGAGAAAGAACAAATATGTAATATCAGTAGTTTAGTCTCTCTGGCAAAATAATTTAAGAAATATTAAAATCTGTTTTTCCCCCAGCGCTCTGCATCTGCCGTATTGCAGTGGAACGGGGCAGTGTAGTTTGGTTTTTCTGTATTATGTTATATTTTATATTGTCATTTCCTCGTTTTCATCTGTTTTCAAAATATTTTATGGCTTCAATTTAATACAGACTTAAATAAAATTTGCTCTGATCTTCATGGAATAGCGCTACCGTATTATTATGAATACCGCAGTGTGAGAGGTACATGTGAGAAAAATATTTGTAAAATAACGTCACCAACATTTGGGCTAGATTTTTATGCGATACAATTGATAATAAAATTGCGGTAAACATTTCTCTTAATTCTCTTGTAGATTTTCTGCTGCTGTGGACTTACGCTGGTGATTCAACAGTACATTGGGTATGCAACTGTTTCCTTACTAGCCGAGGTAAACAGTATCTTCCTCCACGCCAGACAAATTATGTTGATGATGAATATCCCGAAATCATCATTGGTGTATTTCGTTAACAACATTTTCAACATAATAACTTTTATATTGTTTCGTTTCGGTATGTTCTTTTGGTTGTCGTGGTGGCTACATATGAACTACACCCGTGTTGCCACCATTTTAGTGTCTCTTGCATGCACCGGTCTCATAATAATGTTTGTTGTCAATGTAACCTTATTCTACAGACTTGTTACAAGTGATTTACTGCGCAAACAGACAAGTGATAGTAAAATGGAACATAAGGATATTTTGGATATGAAGTTGGATAGCTAAATGTCATAAGTTGCGATGACATTAAAACAAAATATTATTGTTATTAAGTAATGTGGTGTTATTTGTTATTGCATAATATGTACCTTATTCCCTTTCTATGAATTCTGATGAAATTTATTACCACCAATATCTGAACCCTTGGTTGTTTGTTTTTTTTTTTTTAACCCTTGGTTTTTTTTTTTTTTTTTTTTTTTTTTTTTGTAAATCGTTCATGAAAAAATAGTAATAATTTGAATAGTTCTATTGTTTCCACCTTGTTCATATCACATACAAGATAGCAAAGGTCCAGATGGTTGGGTGCATTTGTTGCTGGTCTGTAATTTGGGAATTTCTACCTCTGGGCATTAGCTTCCCGTAAGCATGGGCTTCCTCATTTAATATTTAAAATATATTTGGTTTTATTATAGCTATATAAGATATTTGATTTGTAAATAATTATGTTAATTGTTTTTTTTAATAGTTAGCTAAATTTCCTCTATAAATTATATACCAAAACTAAACTTTGTCACAAAATGTATCTTAATATTTGAAGTAGTAGCCATATGGAATAATAATAATAAGCAAATTCAGTACGTTTGTTGTAGTAGCGAAAGCCAAGTGTACACTGCGTAGGCTGTTGGTTGCTCAAGAGCAATAGCATGCTTCTTTATAACCGCAACTCGATGAGGCTTCAGCTACAAATCGTTTTTATCTGCGATCCGTCAGACTCCCATCGAGAATTAGGAGGCATCGAATTGTCACACGTACTAACAAAACATAGTTAAAATCAATTAACTGACCGTCAGACCACTCAGTGTATGCTCGGGTTTAGTGGTTACGGTGCTTATCTTTCATCTTGGCAAAAAATGCCTCTATCTCTCCCCTCCCCCCTCCCTCCAAAAAGAAAGCACACTACCCAAGCCTCATATTTTTTTTAAATATATCAATATATCTCAAAAAATCCTCTCCTACCTATTTATAGTTAATGTTCATATAAACTAAAGAAGCAAAAATATCAAAGACAAATTTCAGGTTCACTTTTCATAGATTTGGTACTAAAATATTAATATTTTGAAGATAGTTTATTAGAAATTTTATATACTCATTTGTAAAACACTGTTTATATTTCAGTAGTTGATGATTGAAAGCAATATTTAAATTCAGGAAGGTACAATGTTACCATCACAGAATCGCTGTTGTTTTTATCATCTATTTTGGCACAAATATTTTACTAAGCTGCAATTTTGCATTTACAGGTATTAGCATTTCAATAATTTGGAAGAAAAACAATGAACGTAAAACAATATAGTTTTTATTTTTATACATTTTAAAAACTAATATGTAAAATAATATGTTTTTTTAAGGGGTTGTTGAACATTATCAACAGTTTCACAAGTGTACAAACAGTATGCTAGAAGGGAGGGGGTAGACAAATTTGTACACTGTTACATTATGCATAAAATCGTTGATTCAAAATAACATGCAATATATAAAATAAGGGTAAAATTATAATGTAACCAAGGATGTAATATTCATTTTTAAGCAACCAAGTACATTGCTTTCAGTTGACTTCACAAAAAAATGGAGAATGGTTTTGCAAAACCAACTTTTTTTGTACACTTTCAGATTGGAGGGAGGGGATACCGAAAGAGAGTACTGTTTGTACACTTGTGAAAATGTTGACAATTGTGAACAACACACAAATTTAGGTTTAAATTAGAATTTTGGGAACTTGCTTCAAAAACTCAACATATGATTGCCATAGGCTTTTTAATAATCTTAAATGTATTTTTAAACAGAAAATTTGTAAATTAAGATTCTATTTTAATATTATAATTTCCTATTGATTTCTTTAGACAAAAATGTATAATCTGTTTAGGAGTGCCCCCCCCCCCCGAAGAATTATGCAATATGATATAAGTTTGTTTAATGAAATTTTCATCCATGTTAGTGAGTACAGTGAACATGCTAAAAATAAGGTATGCCTTAAAACAGTATTATTTAAAAACCTCTTTAAAAATTTGGCCATTAGAAGCTTACAAAAAACTACAAATTTATGAGTATTATTGACAATTTTGTCCAAAAGAATCTTATTAATTGATTTATAATGATATGGATTTGTCATTTCAGTCATTCTAATGAAATGTTTATCCAAAGAACATAAAAGAATTTTAGAGTAAGTATGTACACAGAAAGTGTCAAAAATAAAGTACAAAATGTCTTACCTAGTAACATAAAAACCTCTTTAAAAATTAGGCCAATGGAAGCACAAAAGACTATACATTTATGAGTATTATTGTCAATTGTGTTAAAGTGCAAAGAATTTTATTAATTGATCTGTAATGATATGGATTGATAATTTTAATCATTATAATAATGAATTTTTTATCCAAAGAACATGAATCAATTTTAGTATGTATTTATTAATGCAGTAGGTGTGTATACAGTACTCACTGATGAATTAAGATTTCAGGTCTGCCTCCAATTAAAGACCACTTTTGGTATGGAGGTGTCCATGGTCTTTAGCAGCTTTGGTCTTTAATTAGAATAATAAAGATAAAAGACATTTGTTAATATGGGACCAACAAAAAGTGGTCTGTTATTAGAGGTGATCTTTGTTTGGAAGGGTCTTTATTAAAATTACAGGGAGACTTGTATTTTCTAATTCAGAAATGCATATGTGCTCTTAATATTTGTACATAATACATGAAAATTTAGATTATTCCAGTAAGGTTAAAGGATTTTACAATGAATGACAACATTTGATTGGTTCTCAGCTTGATTATAATACGTAAATTATAATTTTTGTTAATTAACCAAAGTGTTTGAGGTGAAATAATAACCAGTAAAATAATAAATCTAAAATCTCTAAATTGTCCAAAATATTTGCATTTGTTTTTAAGTGTAATATTAAGATTTATCGTAGAAAGGGACCTGGCATTTGTAATAATGTACTTTTCTCTGGTTTTGTACGTTAAATTATATTTTATCATAATAGAAGCTTTTGTGTATATATAAGCTGACATATTATTAGCCTTGTGTATAATAGTAGGCTTGAAATCTATCGGTCAATAAG